AAGATTAGGGGCACATGGGTGGCTCAGTCGCTTAAGTGTCTGCCTTGAGCTAGGGTCATGATCGTGGGGTCCCGGGATCGAGACCACCATCGGGTTCCCCACACAGGAGGTGCTCTTCTCCCTCTGCGTGCTGCTCCCCCTGCCTGTGCGCTCTCTCTCTCTGCCAAATAAATAAATAAAGTCTTTTTTTTTTTTTTAATTAAGATTAGAAGTGACACCTCATCACCAAATCAGTCTCCCTCCTGCAGAATGGAATGCAGTGCTGTGTGGGGGTGGAAAGGAAGAGTGAGTTGTCCCCAAAGTTGTTTTCTTTGACAAGTGCCTCGCTGTGCAAAGGGTTCAGAGGGATGGCCGTGGCTCAGTGTAGTAAAAAGCCCATCCAGCATAGCTTTGTTACTGTCATCTCCCCAGCCCCTGCAAGGTATATAAGAGATCCGTCTTCATCGGGGAAGCATGCGTGACGTGGCTTGTAAGCCCACAGTTCAGCAGCCTTGAGAAGTGTGCCATCCCTCCCCTAGAAAACAGTCCCAAGATCTCCCCATGCATCTGGTCCGCCCTCTGAGGAGGAGCTCAGTGCTACAACCGCGTGTAAATACTGCCAGAACCAACGGAGAAGACCTTAATCACATGGCTTGAGTAGAGAACGCTGCTCCAAGTCTCCTAAAAATTCCCAAGCCCTGTTTTCAGTAGACACCTGAAGCCCACTGCCTGATTCCTGTAATGATCCAGAGCGATGGAAACTGTTAGATCTTTCCTTTCAGGAGCTCTGTCCAGCAGGAAGCCGGGTAACTCCAGAGAGGGAGCTTTGCAAACAGCACCTAAACGTGCCCTATGCCCGCTGAGTTTTCATCGGTTCATCCTCCTTCCACCAACAGCATAGAGAGGGTACATCAGAACCCATGGAACAAAAGGCTAAGGGTCATAGTTTCAGTGGGTCATATTTTCAACACATTATCCTCATGTGGGCTCACACCGCAGCACACGAGTTCAGTAGTTTGACATTGTTTCTTTCAGACCTGAAACTCCACAGTCAGGGCCACTTGCCTTGTGTGTGCCAACTACTGGAGAAGGTCATCACCTGCTTGGAGCAACCAGAGGGCAAGAGAGATAGCCTGCTTCCCTTAGAGCAGTGGCACACAGCTCCATTACCATCAGTGAAATGGAACTGGTTTGCTATTTCTAGCCACTTCATTCCACTTTAACTTTATGATCATTACCTTTTTAAATAACATTTTTATGGGTCGTTAGTTTTATGTGTGCTTCTCCACTTCCCATCTCTTCTTATTTTTCCCATTATCAGAGCCTTACTTGTTAAAAACAGAAAGTAAATAACAATGCAGCCTTGTGATCACGGTTTCATAAACATACAGCTTTCCCTTGGTACCTGGATGTTTGCTTTCTGAGTACAGTGAGTGAGTTTAAATGATTCCTAAAAATGGAAAGTCAGTGCAAGCTACCAAGATGAATCCTAAAACCAGTATTTAGAAAGCATCTACCTGATTTGACATGGCCTGCAGGTGTGATGGGCACTTGCTTTCTGTTTTGTGTATTTGGAGTTAACACAGCTGGCCTAAAGCGTACCAGAGATGGGTTCCTCTGAGGGACACAGAGTGGTTCAGAAGGTACCCATTAGATCAGAGTAGCTCTTGACCCACAGTGAACACAGAGCGATTTCACTGCACCCCAGGTCCTGTTTATGAGGGCTTAAGGGGTCCCCACAGACCTCAGCAGTCACCTTCTCTCCTGAACTGGGAGGGATTTCTCAGCTGACAACTGATCATATAATCTTGTGATAGCTTTCCCATTGTTGACTGATGTTGTTACTTGATAATTAACTTTCCATTGTTAAGGTGGTATCTACAAAGCTACATTGTAGGTTTCTTGGGAGCAGGGCCTAGTCTTGTACTTATCCATTCCTCATAGCACTTCCGTTGGAATCCCAGCTCTACGACCTTGAACGAATTCCTTCACCTCCCTCTTTCTGTTTCCTTGTCTCCAAAACAGAGGCAGCCATGCCTTCTTGGCAGTGTGTTATGAGAACAAGCTAGCGTGGCGCTGGGCACTGGGATCACTTGGTAGATGGTAACTAGACAAAGCCTGGCACACAGAAGCTGAGCAAAATTTAGCAGAACTGAATGTGACAAAGCAGGATTTAAACTCGTGTGAGGAGAGAGCTAGTTACAGACTCTTGAAATTTCATGTTGAGGACACCACTGCCTCTGACCTTGAACTTGAATGAGAGTTTACAATCCTGGTTTTAATCATGACTCTTTTATGACCATAGGATGATCCTTTCAAGCTTATCATGTCTCCTTGGCCCAAAAGGACTAGTGATGTGATCTGGGATGTGGAGACCGTGCTCATTGGCACCGTCAGTCCCACTCACACTTACGCACCCACTTGTCCCTGCTTGGAGAGGCCTCTTCTCCAGCTCCTTGTAGCCATGTGTCAGTGGCAATGCCCATGACTAATCTAATCATCCCCAGGGGTGTTCCTGGTTTCTCTAGGAATTTTCTTTAAAAGCAGCCATAGTGGGGAACAGTGGCAGAACTTACTAAGACCAATGGCATCGAAATAAAAACAGAATGCCCATAAGGGAGGACTGTTTAAAAAAATGTAAATAACATTGAGGTGAGTTTCCCCCACTTCCCATATACTGAGCACACGTACGCAAACTTGAGATGTGTGCTTCCATTCAGCAAACGGCAAATTGCCTGGGAGCGGAGCAGAAAATGCTTCCTTATGGAGGGGTCAGCTGTGCCTTGATTAGGCCATTCTTCTCTTTGTGGCGAAGTCACATTACAGCAAAGAAATGGGTCATGTGACATTCCCATCACTTCCTTTGGTTACTTGTAAATGGGTACTTCCTTGCTTTGCACTTCCTCGGAAAGGTTCCTGGGGGGAGAGTACATAAAACAGATATAGTAGATACTGCATTTGCTGAATCTATTACCATGTCAGCTTAGTAGAACACAAAGGTAGGTCAGATGAGCTCCCTTTCAATAGTGGTACAAATAAGGGCTGTTCAATAGGACAAATAAGGACTGTCCCCTGCCCTGACTGGTTGGTTGGTGTGGATTATTGGTTTACACAGTGACTTGCTCCAAAAGTCATTCGAGATGATAGTCACCAAACAGACCGTCTTGTTACTTTCAGAGCGCTGTAGTTGTATGTTAGGAGCACAAGTAGGCTTCCAACATCTCAGTACCACACAGGCTTTTGTCAGGTGTGTGCCGTGTTAGAGACCCTAATCAGATGCAGAGTTATAAAGAGAAATGAAGCCGTTCGTGATCTGAAGGAGCTTGCTGTCTAGCGGTAGAAACAGACCCAATTAAGTGTAATAAAAGTGAGACGGCAGTGATTGCCCTTGTGGAGCTATAATGTGAGTCTGGCGGTCATGTTTTTCTGTTGTGTTCTTTTTTTAACCCAATATCTTGGGACTCGTTATCTGACAGAGGTGGGGTTTTTTTAAATTTGGAATTTTATTTAAAGTCCTTCCGAAATACAAACCAATTAAAATCCCATTCGGTTATATATCCAGGAAATTTCCCTTACTGGAAAGAATGCCGCATATAAAAATTGGTGCCGCTCTGAACACTCCAGGGCATTTTCCTCACACTAGCGATGGGGCTGAGAGGCTGGTATTGTATGTTTTAAGAGGTTGGGAGACCGCTCTGGGATAAGGCAGTGTCCAAGTTGAATCACGGGCAAGGGATAGAAGTCCCCACAAGACTTTTGGCTGTGTGTGCCACCGTGAATTCAGTACATGTGAAAGTCAGCTGCAGAACTGGCCAGCTCACCTTGCTCTACACCTATGCCTTTAGCAGATATTTTGTAATAACTGCTTTTAGAGCTTCCAGCAAGGACCCCATGGTGGCTGCTTTCATTCAGTTTCTACCCATACCATTCAAACCGCAGATCTGCCTTCCCTTTCGAAGGGGCCAGGGGTGTTTGCAAGAACCTAGGAGATGCACGTAGGTTTCCATATAGGGTGAGGAAGCCTGCCCTGAACCCCAGCAAGTTTAATCCACTTCCATCTGAGAGAACAGTTGGCCTTAGGCAATGCATCTCTAATTGTCTAAGTCACCCTCTGCGTGCATGGGGGTGTGTGCGGACACAAAGCCGTGCATAAATAGCACATTTTCAGTCGATAAAATGTGAAGCGTGAGGAGCACATGACAGTAGTAGGCTGAGCCTCTGAAGATTTAGCAGGAAAGAAGGCAGCTGCATGGCAAAGCCATTGCTCGTAATTAGGGAAGGAATAGCCTGTGTCCAGTGCCGCTCAGCAGCTTCAACCATTTAAATGGCAGTCGGCCTGTTTAGTTCTGGAACCCCCGTTCTTTCTGGGCCAGCAGTTGATTTTGGGATTATTGTCTGGATTATTGTCCTCTCTGAGGTATCCCTGTAAGATCAGGTAGGATGTGAGGACTGAAAAGTCCCATGTGGAAACCATGATGAATGAGAAACACAGCAGTTGCTTCCATGTCACTCTTTAACTTGTTAAGTGAAGGAAAACTGTTTTTCGACCCCTGTGGACTTTCAGGTTTTAACAGGCCATATTGCCAGTTTCGCGGTGGACAAGAAAAAAACAGAACGCTTTCTTTGGCTCGAGCGAGCCACAAGTGTCACGCCTCTCCTTACTAGAAGGGCTCTCCACGGGTGTGACTGGGAGGGAAATTAATAGGCTTCCCATCATTACCATGTATTTTTGCCAGGATATTTCATTAGCGTCAACACTGAGCCGGTTGTCACCTTGCGGAGCCACTGGACCCTGGTGATTTTCAGTGCCGTGTGCGGGGCGATGGAGTGCGGAGGCACGCACGAGACAGGCACTAATTATTGGAAGCGGAATCACTGCTGACCCAGTGCGAGATTAACTGCTCCCTTGCAGTCTTTATTCTGGGACATTAGCACTGTCTGGTTACCCTGCTTCAGTTGAGGGATTCGGGACAATAGCCACGCTGATGGTAACGTCGGCAATTTCCCTGTTTGTTTTGCAGGTCACGGCCAGGGGCTTTGGGCCTCTGTTACAGTTTGCCTACACCGCCAAGCTATTACTCAGCAGAGAAAACATCCGCGAGGTCATCCGCTGTGCTGAGTTCCTGCGCATGCATAACCTGGAGGACTCCTGCTTCAGCTTCCTGCAGACGCAGCTCCTGAACAGTGAGGATGGCCTGTTCGTGTGCCGGAAGGACGCTGCGTGCCCGCGCCCGCAAGAGGACCGCGAGAACTCCGCGGGAGAGGAGGAGGAGGAAGAAGAGGAGACGATGGACTCCGAGACGGCCAAGATGGCGTGCCCCAGGGACCAGATGCTTCCAGAGCCCATCAGCTTTGAGGCCACCACCATCCCCGTAGCCGAGAAGGAGGAAGCGCTGCTGCCCGAGTCCGATGTGCCGGCCGACAACAAGGAGAGCTCCGAGAAGGACGCGTTGACGCAGTACCCCAGATACAAGAAGTACCAGCTTGCATGTACCAAGAATGTCTATAACGCATCGTCACACAGTACCTCAGGTTTTGCAAGCACATTCAGTGAAGAGAACTCTAGCAACAGCCTCAAGCCGGGGCTTGCCGTGGGGCAGATTAAAAGTGAGCCGCCCAGTGAAGAGAACGAGGAAGAGAGCATCACGCTCTGCCTGTCCGGGGACGAGCCTGACAGCAAGGACAGAGCCGGGGACCTCGAAATGGACCGGAAACAGCCCAGCCCCGCCCCCGGCCCCGCCCCCACCGCCGGGGCCACCTGCCTGGAGAGATCCAGGAGCGTGTCCTCCCCCTCCTGTTTAAGGTCTCTGTTCAGCATAAAAAATAGTGTGGAGTTGTCTGGCTTGCCCAGTACCTCTCAGCAGCACTTTGCCAGGAGTTCGGCGTGCCCTTTTGACAAGGGGATCACTCAGGGTGACCTTAAAACTGACTATGCCCCTTTCCCGGGGAATTACGGACAGCCTCACCTGGGCCAGAAGGACGTGTCCAACTTCACCATGGGGTCGCCCCTCAAGGGGCCTGGGTTGGAGGCTCTCTGTAAACAGGAAGGAGAGCTGGACCGGAGAAGTGTGATCTTCTCCTCGAGCGCTTGTGACCAAGTGAGCACTGCGGTGCATTCGTATTCTGGGGTAAGCAGTTTGGACAAAGACCTCTCCGAGCCGGTGCCAAAGGGTCTGTGGGTGGGGGCTGGCCAGTCCCTCCCCAGCTCACAGGCCTACTCCCACGGTGGGCTGATGGCTGACCATTTGCCAGGAAGGATACGGCCCAACACTAGCTGCCCGGTGCCAATCAAAGTCTGCCCTCGCTCGCCCCCTTTGGAGACCAGGACCAGGACTTCCAGCTCATGCTCCTCCTATTCCTACGCAGAGGACGGGAGCGGGGGCTCGCCCTGCAGCCTCCCTCTCTGCGAGTTCTCCTCCTCGCCCTGTTCCCAGGGAGCCAGATTCCTAGCCACAGAACATCAGGAACCAGGCCTGATGGGAGATGGAATGTACAACCAAGTCCGACCCCAAATTAAATGTGAGCAGTCTTATGGAACCAACTCCAGCGACGAATCCGGATCGTTCTCGGAAGCAGACAGTGAGTCGTGTCCCGTGCAGGACAGGGGCCAGGAGGTAGGGAACCCGCATGAATTCAAGCATGTGATCCACTCTTGCGGTCCTTTATCTGGACTCTACCTGCTGCCCCACCACTCCCAGATTAAAGGTTCCAGGAATGGGACTGCTTTCCCATCCACAGAGGCAGGATGTTTCAGTCATTCCAAATTAGCTACTTTTGTCCTGGAAGGCACTTGAAGTTTGATCTAGGTTTCGGTACTCAACAAGCAGAGGCAAGCTGTTTACTAAAAAACATTCAGTCCAATGCATGAAGGGTGTGTTCGGGTACCTCAGCTCTCCCCCTTTCTCCTTCTCCACCTGCTTTGAAAGGGTGCCGTACTCATCACCCTCCAGGGTGAAAGAAAACGGAGAATCACTTTCAAAACTGATTGATTGACACTAGACAGACCCACAATAGCAGGTGCTGGTGCAGCACCCCTTAAGTTTTCCTTGTCAGCAGGAGTCCCCGGGGCCATCCCTTGTCCATGGCAGTGCAGGCAACAAACTGCTCCCCGTCCATCACGGTCCCAGGACCCTGCAGAAGCACCCTGGTCAGGCGTACCTAACTGTGCAGTGGATCGTTTTCCCAGCTCCCCACTAATGATGAGAGGAGGAATGGGGGTGAGTAGCTGTTTCTGCTCACCCTGAAAGCAAAGTACCTTCTCACGATCTATAGATAAAAATTCCCAAAGGCTCCATCCCCCGTACCAATGCCGGGAGACGGAGCGGGAACCCACCAGCCACATTATGAGCAACACTCCCATGGCTGAGGAGAAAGAATAGACGCCCCCTCTGCTTCCCTTTCCCCGCTGTAGCATGAAAGTCCCCTGCAAAGATCTAAGGGAGTCTTGTGTCATGATCTGGCACTGTCTGGCTGATTGAAAAGGAGCCAACCTGAGAATTGCCACCTGGGTCTCAGGCCCGCCTCGGGAGCCTCGGGAGCAGCAGGAGCAGACCCGGGGAGAGGCCCCTGCTCAGAGCTGCTTGCCTGAAAACCGCAGGAGGAGAGGAAGCCCGGCCCTCACCAGGCCAGCGCCCTCCGTCCGCTTCCACGCTCCCAGGACCTCGGCGCCCGTAAAGCAGGGACGGTAACCCAACCAGACAGCAGAAATGCCGCACGGGGTTAGGTGCCTTTTCACAGAGCCACGTGCGGGGGATTCAGCCTCTGTGAGATTGGCAAGAAGCACATGAGGTTTTAGTTAGGGCGTGTTTTGAAAGTAGATCCCAAAGCTCCCCATGCCAACTGCAGAGATGCCCCGTGGTCATTTCCTGGTGTTGCTAGCGAGCCGCTCGGGCTGGTCTGTGACTGCCTGGGGGAAAATGGAGGAGGACAGAAACGTACTGGAAGGATTTCATGTAGCTCAAAGAAATTACAAAGGAAATTTGAATGGGAACTCTTCCTGTCTGAGTACACCCTGTCCCCTCGGTTTGGGTTGTGCCTAGTGCCCCAGGCAAGTGGCATCTGTGCCCCCCTGAGCTGAGAGGACTGAGTTTTTGTGAAAACAGTGCAACCTTGTGCTCTCTCTTCCCTCACTCGTTTCTCTTCCTCTCATCATAACTTAGGTGAGGTTTTCTTTTTTTATTCCCCCTGACATTGTTCCTAAGCCCCCCTGATGCAGAAACCTAGTCCCTGGGTCAAGTTCATCAGCGTAATGATTTATCTTGCCGAGGAGTGGTGTCTGGAGAAAAGGACAAATGTCTTTGTCTTTGTCTCTACCCGAAGAGGAGCCTCCCACCATTAAGCTGAAGGGATTGTGTTGTCATGACATTTGCATATGTTCGAGGAACTGTCAGTTTCTGATCATCTCCTTTTATCTCTCTCATATCCCAAAAGAGAGTTTAAAGTCACTTCTTCAAATGAAATGCCACCAACAAGAGCATGTGTGTTTTTCCTGGGTGTTTGGGCAACATCACTTGTCTACCTTTAGAACGTCTCAATTCTAAACGAACCAGTCAAAAGGAAACTTCATTCAACCTATAAAAAATTTCATGAAAAATGCCAGTGCTTTAAAAATATTTTTACTTTAACTTTAAAAAAAAAAATGCTCTTTGCATTTCTAAACACTGAAAGCAGGAACCTTTACCAGAGCTCTGTACTGTTTCAAGAATCACATTTAGCCCCCCGCAGAAGGGCATTTTGAACAGGGTTGGTAGAATAAAGGTAAACTTCTTCCCAGTTTGACATTTTAGTTTTCCTAGAGTAGAGATTAGGTCTCAGAGACCCAGCATGACTGTTCCTCTTTGGGTTAATAATTTTCTTCCAGGAGTTTCTTTGACCCCAGTGGAAGTATGGTCCCCAGTAATAACACTGAAGGCAAATCCTTTATTCACAACGTGAACTATCCCTCGTTTTCCTGAACTGATCCGGAAGAGGCCAGCCTCTGTTGGTCTGAGTCCTGCCCTGATCTGCTCTTCGGAGAAGGCCGGGTGACTCCCCTTCTGCATGAAGCCCAGGGAGACACTGGAGTCAGAAACCAGAGTTCTCCCCTCCGACCAGGCACCTGTCCAGTGCTCCAGACAGACACTGGAGCCGGGCTCCTTCCCAGCCTCTCTTCCTCCACCTCAGTCAGGAGCCAAAATGTTAGCTCAAAAGAAAATATCAGCATTCCTAACAGCCGGTAAAGTGCTCTTGTTACACCATCTCATCGATTCTGACCTCTCTCATCCTTTTTCACAGTCCCCTAGCTTTGAAGAGAGCTTCAATGAGCACAATATTATCCTTCCTCAACAATCACCTCTTTAAAATTACTTTCTTCTTTGAAACAATCAAACACCGCTTACGCAGCCCCTAACAGACCAAATTTAAGAGGCTCTCTCTGGGTCTGCAACAACACAGAAACACATATTTGCACCTCTGGGGGTCTGAGTTTTAGTTTAGTGGCATTTACTGTTGAACTAGCTTCCTTCACAGAGCTGTTCTACTGTGTGCATGCCTCTAGGTCCGTCACATCAGGTTAAATCATACTTCCTTACTATGCACAGGCCCCACACAGCACAGCTGATAGCTAACCATAGCTAACCATAGCTACCCTAGCTACCGTCTACCAAGTGACAGTCCAGGTGTTTCCAGTTTTTTTCCCTTCTTATAAAAATTGCTGCAATAAACATTTTTGTGAACATACTCAGTAGTGGTGCTTTTATTTTTGTGGGTTAGAATTCCCTAAGTGGGTTAAAGGTGATGCTGATCTGTGAAATACTGCCTACTTCCCCAAAAGGTTGTATCCTTCAGCAATTTATGGATGTCCGTTCCCCCCTGTTCTTGCCAGCACTGGCTGTAACCAGTCCTTTTAAATTTTGCCCATCTGCTGGGTAAAAGATAACAACTGACGAGGCTGACGTCTTTTCTCGTGTGTATGTGCCACTTCTATTTCCCTTTCTCTGACTTGCCACTTGACATCTTTGCCCATTTTTCTCTTGTGGTGTTCATCTTTAAATCAGTTTGTAGGATCCTTGGTCCCTAATACAGGAATATTAACCTTTTCTTAGAAATGTTTCCCATATTTTCTCCTACTATGTCTTTTTATTTATGGCATTTTTTCCCCCATACTGAAATGTTTAAGTTTCATGCACTCAAGTTATCCATCTTTTTCTAAATGACTTTTGGGTTTGCTATATTACTTAAAAAATCAGTTTGGGAATTTTTGTCTTACTTCCAATGGTGAAAAATATGAACAGGTCATATTAAGTAGAAAAAGTAACAAAACAGTATGTATAACAAGGTTCTAATTTGCTTTGTAAATATACATATGACTAAAAAGGCAGTATGGAGAGTAAGATAAAAATAGGAGGCAACGTTGGGGAGGAATATAAGGAAAGTTTCATTCTGTGTACCTCTGTAATGTCTGAATTTTATGTATGTATATCTCACACAGGGTCATGATTTTAATTGAGATACAATTCACACACCATAAAATTTACCCGTTAAAAGTGAATTATTCAGGGATTTTTCAATGATTCACAAAGGTGTGAACCATCTCCACTCTAATTCCAGGACATTTTAATCACCCCAAGAAGAAACACCATCCCCATTCCCAGGCGCTCCTCACTGTCCTTCCCAAACCCCAGGCAAACACTGATCTACCTTCTATCTCTAAAGACTTGCCTCTTCTGAACATTTCATAACAATGGGATCTTAGGCTGCGTGGCCTCTTGCGTCTGGCTTCTTTCACCGGGCATAATGTTTTCGAGGTTCATCCTTGCCACTGATGTACCAGCGGGTCCACCATATATCGGTGAATTGTTCTTTTTTATTGCGGAATAATCGTCTACCTTGCGGACATAGGGCACTTTGTTGATCCGTTCATCGGCTGAAGGGCGTTTGTATGGTTTCCTCTTTTTGACTCTTATCATTGGTGTGTAAGTGTTTTGTAGACACAGTTTTTCGGTTCTCTTCATTACATATGTAACGGTAGAATCGCTAACTCATGTGATAACAATATGTTTAACCTTTTGAGAAACTACCAGACTGTCTTCCAAGGTAATGGCCCCATTTGACATTCCCACCAGCAGTGCACAAGGGCTCCCATTTTGTTTTGTTTTGTTTTTGAGATTTTATTTATTTGACAGAGAGAGAGAGAGAGAGAGCATGAGTGGGGGAAGGGGTAGAGGGAGACGCAGACTCCCAGCTGAGCAGGGAACCTGATGCAGAACTTGATCCCAGGACCCTGGGACCATTACCAGAGCCAAATGCAGCCGATTAACAGACTGAGACACCCAGGCGCCCCCCAGGGGTTCCTGTTTCTCCATGCCCTCGCCAGCACTTGTCACTGTCCAGCTTTTTATTTTCGCCATACTAGTGCATGTGAAATGGTACCTCATTTTGGTGTACAGGTTCATTTTTACAATGTGAAAATTATAGACAAGTCACAAGTATTTCCCAAGGAGTAACCTTCTTTGTGGGATGGTTTTATACCACAAGCATTTCTAATTAATTGTAGGTTTTAGTAAGGAAGCACTAGAAAGACAATTTGCATGGCCAAAAGGATCGATGAGTTGGACCTGCTCTATTAACACATTTC